GTTGACCAATAGTCTTGAATGACGTAAAATGCCTTGCTCATCTGTCAAAGTTACCGACTGGTCAATCGCTCGAAAACCCTTTATCTATGTCCTCCATGTTTCAAAGTTGACAATGTTAAAATTTATCTTGGAAAAAAATTTTCAAAAAATTTCTGAAATTCCTAGATACAAAATACTCCTAATGGCTATCTTGATTTTTTCAAAAATAAGTTTTTTAGCATAGGTAGGGGGTGTTCACTTTATATACCGGATTACCCTGTACAAATGAAAAATTATTGCACAATAAAATTTAAATTTTTCTCCTTGATTTTTCTCTCTTACAAGCCACGGGTAGTTGGTATAGGGTGAGGTATAGGGTATAGGTAACTATGATAACGAGACGTTTAGGTCAATCTTTATAGTTATAAAAATAGGTTTTCTGACTGAGGTAGGGTCAACTGGGGTAAATGTGAAAAGGGGTAAATGAAAATACCTTGTATTTTCTGGCTAAGAGTGAATTTGACCTAAAATTGACAACATTATCCGCATTTCCCGCGTTTTGTTTAGCCAAGGGTGGTTTTTGAGGTTGAAATGGCAGTTGGTTCTGAAATGCGGCCATGTGAACATAACAGTGCAGTTTCAACTGAAAAACAGATTTGTGAAGGTTTTTTTAGAAGTGAATTGCTGACCCAAAAACGGTAACTGTGATTCGAATTTTGGTTTAGGTGATTGTTAATGTCATACTTGCTTAGTTTTAAACAAAAAACTAGAAACATTTTGCAAGTACTAACCTACAAAATACTATTTACATTTACCCCCAAAGAATTTAGTGTTGGGGTAATTGTAAATCCTAAAATGGGGTAAATGTAAATGCAAAAATTTCGGTAATCAGGTAGGTAGTGAGTGTCTTTATCTTTACCACAAAATTGCCAGGATATGCCAAGTCCTAATTCGAATGCTAACGATCCTGATCAGCGACCTGACAATTCTACACCTATTAAAGGCATACACACATCCACCACCACATTCACTTCCAACACAATAGTTAGCATATTTGCTGAGCAAAGTAATAGTTACATTAACGTGTGACATTAACCAATCAAATGCTAAAAAGGTACAGAGGCAGATTATACCGAGACTAAAACCACAAAACAACGAAATTTTAACTACCCCACAGGTTCTAGAGAAAATGGAAACTGCTCAAAAGTTAAGAGATCAAAAGAAGGGGACCAATAAAAAGCAAATAGATAAGAATGAGAATGGGATTAAAAAGGCATATGGTAAGAAAAGAAAGGTTGTTCATGAGGAAGAAGAAATTCAAGAAGAACTGTTAGACGAATCGGCTATGTGTCTCTATTCTGATGAAGATTTATTAAAGTTAGTCATTACTGGAATCAATAAGTGAAGTTGAATATCATAAACCAGTTTTGAATGAATTAAAAACAGGGTTGTTTGTATTAGTAGATTTTCAGGGTAGAAAGAAAAATAAAATCCATTATGAGTAAGTTTGTTGTATACAAAACATCGATCAAGAAGAAGGAGATGTTACGGTTCAAGAGTTTCAGGAGTTAAATTCTACATCAACAGAGTTTGTTGAGAAGCCAAATGATATAAGTTACAACATTTGAAATGATTAAACTAACCCAAACCTTCAATATCGTAACAAAAAAGTCATTTATGTTTTTCCTGGGTCAGTAGCGGTTTTCGAAAAATAAAGCTGGTAGCAGATTTGTGACTGTAGTGATGTTAAGATAATGAATAGGTTGACATAGGTTAAGCCCACTGTTTGATGAGCTACTAGCTGTTATTTTTACGTGTTTTTTTGTTAGTTTGTCCCTCTGATGCCCTTAGAAATTTACATATTTTATTTTTTCTGGGGTAAATGTAAATACCCTTCTTTTGAATTTTTTTTTTATAAAAACATAGTCATACTAAATTTGTTTTCATTTGCCCCTTAAAATTCTAGTATTATCCTAATACTCCATGAAACCTTCGTTTACATTTGCCCCTTTTAACCAGGGTAATTGTAAATGCGTGGGGTAAATGTAAATCAAAAAAATAAATAAAAAGTAATGTGCCAAATGACGGTCTGTCCTGGTAAATTAATACGTGATACACTAACCGACACTGAATCCAAATTTCATAGATTTAGAAAATAAGAAACCTTAGATAATCACTACCAAAGTTAAAATTGTTAAAACTGTTCACAATTACCCCAGTTGACCCTAAATACATTATTTTTTTTACTACTAACCTGAGAAATAGTCATTATTCAATCTATTTTTCTAGGAAAAAATTGAATTTCTCTCCCTAGGTGAATAATGAAAATAATGAAAAAATACCTAGGTTAATAATGAAAATGACGTCATGACGCAAGGATATAGTCATGTTTCTATTGGTTCAATTTCATTTCCATACGTCAATTTGAAAAAAAATACAGGTTTCTGTAGGTACATAGGAAGTTATCATAAGCTGTTGATAGAGGGCAGCACTTTCAAGAGGGCGTTCAAAAAAAATAATTGGAGCACAGATTTTAAACAAATTTTTCATTTTCTACTAGCAGTAGTAAAAAAAATTCTATATATTCCTCGGTAGAGAAAGTCATTATATACCTCACTCATTATAAACCTCGGCGCGAGCGCCTCGGTTTATAAAAGCGCTCGGTATATAAGTACAGTGGCTAAATAAACCTTTACATACAGTGGCGACAATAGAGGTCCCGCCGCCATCTTGTTCCCAACCTCTTGTTACTTTTAAATATTAATATATAGGATTTAAATGGACATCTATCATAAAAAATTGAAATCGACGTATTTGATGACCATTATTAGGTCCATCAAATACGTTGTTTTCCATGATTTTGATGGATGTTCACCTAAATCCCATATATTCATATTTAAAAGTAACAAGGGGTTGGGAACAAGATGGCGGTGTTTTCAATATAAATATATGGGATTTTTGAACCAATCAAAAATAAGACAGCAATTGTCGCCACTGTGGGTTATAGAGTCACTGTATATATAAGGAGTGCTTTCAAAGACGGCAATGCTAATGCCAAAACCTACTATTCCCCTTCTACCGGCAATGCCAAATCTGGTGTGAATTTGCTGGAACGCCAAATACCGTTTCTCAATATGCAATCCAAACCACGTGACATTCAATATGGCGTGGCGACCATTCACGGACCAAAAAAACACAAAAAATATCTAGTTTCTGCCCGACTTAATAGTTAACGTACTTAGTTAAGAAATATTTTATTGAATAATTAAAATCGAAGCTGCAAACAAACAAAATAATTGAAATATGCATGAAAACCCATATTCAAAACTAACTTGCCTGGCCGCCACGCCATATTGAATTTGGTCTCATCCAATCAAAATTCGTATAACCATTTCTAGACTCAGTTGAAAGAGCCTCCAAAAGTTACTTTACCGCGGCCGATTTGGAACGTGTAAAGCCAACCGTTTTTGGCACGCTGGAGCCGAACTTGAACGCAATATGCCAATTTTGGCTCGGCTTTAGCCGTTTTTGAACGCAGCCAAGGACCAACTTCTCTACCTAGGTATATAATATACTATTATCCTATTTTGACTTTTAAAAGTGACATTATTGAACGCATAATAACAAAGGTAAGTAGCAGTTTATCAATTATCACCTGAGTGATTTAAAATATTTTTAACTCATTCTCGATCTTTTAAGTCACTCTGTCAGTACAAAAATCTGCTACAAATCCAAACAAACAACTAGCTATACCCTAGCAACTACCAGTTTCAATATGTATTAAGCCGGGATCAGACGACTCGTCTACTTGGCGAATACACAATTATTCGCGTACTTGGCAAGTATACTAGCTTTGCGAATTGCAATGGCAAGCAGGGCGCTCACACGACGTGTTCAATTTACAAGTACGCGAGCGCGAACATTTGGCTCAACCTTGATGCTCGTCAAAAACTAAATGAAATAGTCACAGTAAAAGCCAATTATTTGTGCATCTCGTTTGAGCGCCTCTACAAGTAAGTATAGACAAGTATGAACTTGGCAAGTGTACGAATAATCGTGATCCCTTTGACTCGGGACATTTTTACCGACAAGAAATGGAAAACCAACGAGTGACAAATAATTGTACAAGTAACCCACTCACACGACATGGCAAGTATACGCAAGTAACGATTATTCGTCAAGTACACGAGTCGTTTGAGCCCGGCTTTAGACATTAGTGCTTGCTGAATGAATTCTTTTTATAATTTGATTCCGATTAAGTACTTAATTTTATAAATGTCCATCAAAATGGGATAAAATTTTGTATACATCACAAGTCAAAATGTTTATTCATTAAAAAAAAATTAACCCACTCGCTAGGGCTCGTGGGTTAAACTTTCTTCTCATGAATAAACATTCATTTAACTCAGTTGGTGTATAACAGTTATTTATACACCAAGTGAGTTAAATTAATGTTTATTCATGAGAAGAAAGTTTAACCCACGAGCCCTAGCGAGTGGGTTAATTTTCTTCGAATGAATAAACATTTTAACTCACTTGATGTATACATAACTATTATCCCATTTTGATGTTTAAAAATGACATTATTGAACGCATAACAATAAAGGTAAGTAGACGTTTATCACCTCAGTGATTTAAAAACTTTTTAAGTCACTCTGCCCAACTAAATCTAAAACCTCAGTGATTTAAAATATTTTTAACTCACTCCCGGCATTTTTCCTTGTATGTACTTTATTTTCCAAATTTCCACAAGATGGGATAAATAACTATTAATCCATTAGCAACCCCATCGAAATTTGAATTATGACCAATACCTATTGCGCCATGAAACTATTGTAGTCAAATACACTCACACATTAGGAATTTATATCATACATTGAAAAAAAAAATGCAATATTATACAAAATCTACTGATAGGGCTGGGCTAACCATAACCCCATACAATTTTTTTTCATTATATTTGTATCACAACTTGACTTCTTTTTATACCAACTAAAAATTAAATTATACTAAGCATTTACCATATTATTTTCCATACCATTTAACAAGGTAAAAAACGAAATTGTTTTATTGTTTACTGATGGTGATGGTTAACTTGCAAACGTTTCTTCAAAACTAACTAATCAAACTATCAAAAAAAAAACAAAATAAACACAAACAGCTCAATTGTCAACAATCGAACAACCAACAACTGACAACGATTGACAAGTATGAATCATGAATGACAAACAAGACTGACAAGTAATGTAATAGTTTTCAGGGGCGAGTTCAGAAATGACACACCCAGTGTGAGTGTGACACCGGTGCGACGCCCAAGCTGTTCAAAAATGCTAGACGGTACTATAGGCCCAATGGCCAATTGTCAATTCAGGCACACCCATAAAATCGCACTCGCACCCTGTGCGTTATTTCTGAACTCGGCCCTGAATAGTTTGTATGAGCTGGTTTTCAGGGAGTATGATGCTCGGAGCTACTCGGAGCGTTGGTTGAGCTTCTGAGCTGTACGTACGCAAGGAGAATACACACTCTAAGGAGGACTTATCGGCCTTGTTTTTGGTAATCGCCGTCATATTGGTGTGTCACCATTTCCGACGTCATTACTAAGTTGTCAGCTGTTTAAACAGCCTACTTCAAGGCGAGAAATGACATGCTGCTACGTCACAACTGGTGATTTGGCCAGAGGGGGATTGTCTGACACCATGATACTGGATCGGTATTGTACAAATCTAGTGCGAGGCGGTTACGTGGTACTCCAGAGCGTTCCAATGTGCATACTTGGAAAGCCCAAACTCTTGAAAGGAATACAACTAATGTGTAACAAGTCAACAAGTACGAAAAAAAAGAAGGTAGAAATACTACAAGGATGATACACACTACTACTACAAGATGGCCTATCCTCATAGGGCCTGTAACAAATCCCCCCTTTCTCCCCAAGCCAAAATACCAGTTGTGACGTAGGCAGCATGTTATTTCTTGCCTTGACGTAGGCTGACGACTTAGTTATGACGTCGGCAATGATGGCACACCAATATGGCGGCGATTACCAAAAACGAGGCCGATAGCACTCGAGTGTATATTCTCCTTGGGAAAACTACAGATTTTTCAGTGTTGCCAATTATTTTTTTCCTTTATCCTAACTTTATCCTTACGCTCTGTATTCTCACACACTACTAAATTGCTCATCGGCATAAATTTTTGGGAACATCAAGGTTATATGGAGCTGCTCTGTTATCGACGTCATCAACGGTGTTGTTAGCTGTTTGCGCCAGCGGTCGTAGTTTAGAATATATATTTATGATGAAAAATATTATTTAATTTTGATTAACATCATAGGCCTTCTTGGAAGATGCAAACAAGATCTAAAAAAGGATTGTTTGAGAATGTTATTAATGTACTTAAACCAAGTATGCATAAAGCAAGAGCCACCGGAATCATAGCCAGTGGTGCAAACACCGTAAGTCGAAGCGAGAAACGACACGCTGTCTACGTCATCAGTGGTACTTTGGCGTGGCAAGGGGCTTGAGATTGTCGAAACAATGGGTACTTATGAGAACAACTGCCTATAGTGCCATGTCCTTCACAGTTCTACGCAAAATCACATATGAGTGACAGAGACAGAACATATTTGTTCTCATGAGAACGCCTGCGCGCGCCGCTCCCTTGTTTCCAGAAAGTAGCGCCTGCGTGTTAGCTATCAATGTAATTAAAATGATTCACGACTGGGCACGGTCATACCCGAAAGAAATTCTTACATCATGGACAAACCTAAAATATTCATAATTATTCCCTAAGTTTCAGGGAAAACTTTTGGGCTTAGGTTGGGTAGGGTGTAAGTACACTTAAGTGTTGAGTGGGTGGTTTTCTACTCCTAGTAGGCTTGTCAAATATGGCGGATTTTTGAATAAATGAAATAGGTACCGGGTGTTTTTTCTTATCTCTTCGATATCATTTTCATTTTGATTGCCTCTGCATAAATTATAATTTACCTACAGGTAGGTAATCAAAATGATATCAAAGATAAAAAAAACACAGCGTACCTAGGTACTCCCTTCACAAAACAGAATTCAAAGACTTACATTATTTTAGTAACTTCATGCGAAGCGAACGATTCAAAAGTTAAAACTAAATCACAAATCACAATTAAAATTTCAAAACTTTAAAATTTGTCCGCTAAGTAATAATGATGCGCACTAGACTCAGACCACACTACTATTCACTAGCGAAATGAACTGAGCGGCATCGCAAGAGGTAGCAGAATGCACAGTGCACGCTGTGCATTCATAAACAATTTAACAATTTTAACAACCTATGGTCGCCAGGCAGACGCAATGCTATGTAAGCAGAAATGTGGTTAAAAAATAAAAATAAAAACGATGCCAAGTGTGTAGTACGTAATCGGTCGTGAGTGACTAATCGGAATTATTGGAGGCGATATGCTTAGGAGTCGAACACGAGCGATAGCGACTAAAGTTTATGGGTTCTCAAGAGCCAAACATTTCCAGCTAAAACAATTAAAGAAAAAGATTTCGAGACCGCAGAAATATGAAATTTGAGTAAACTTCGGAGGTCTTGTAAAAAAGGTATGCATATGCCCATGAACTTTTTAGAAAGGAATAAAATTAAGTGTTTCTCATTTATTTTTCAAAAGCGACTAAAGTTTATGGGTTCTCAAAACTCAAACATTTCCAATGGGTTTTGAATTTCAAGCTGAAACAATTAAAATAAAATATTTCAAGACCGTAGAAATGAAATTTGAGCAAAAGTTCAGGGTCTTGACAAATACCTAAATAATAAATTTGCCCAAGCACTTTTGGAAAAGGAATAAAAAGTGTTTCTTATTCATTTTTCTAAAATTCCAGAAACGAGATACGAAAAAAGTGTAGGGGAGTGTGGTACTAGGTGAGACGGTGTACTAAGTGAGACAACTGGGAATATTTTTTTAAATTTCCCTCCAAATTCTGTCTGTCGTAAGGGGGTGATTAACATAACCAATAAGGCACACTTTTTGTGAAATTTTACGTTGTTTTGTTTAAACTTGACGGATTTTTGAGGTGAACACTAAATTTAAGTTGAGTTAGTTACTTTCTTATGTTTTCAGATAATCTGATCAATTCATTTTGTAGAATATTAGTAATATGATGTAATGTTTATACCTTTTTCCTACAGCCGTGCGGAAAAATCGATTTTCCGCACTGTTATGCGTGCGGAAAATGAGTTTTTCCGCACGGTGCGGTAAAACTTTTACCGCATGCATATCAGTGCGGAAAAAGTTTTTCCGCATGGCTGTCAGTGCGGAAAAAATTTTACCGCACTGATCTGCCAAAAAAAAAAAAATTTACATTTTTACGCCTGTAGGAAAAATATTGTACCTAACTCTTGCGGAAAAGTTCATTTTCCGCACTTGTTAGGTAAATAGCTATTGCCTACTAAACTCACTTTCCGCATTGCGATAGAGCCCATTTTTAATATAAATGCGTTTTTTAGGGTCTTTCAATTTATCTTTCATTACTTTGAATGACATAGCTCTGATACCTACTTAGAACCTATTCCAGGCACTACCAAGCGACAATCTGTGATGTACAAATTCGGATTCAACTTCAGTTCAGTTAGCATTCGCTAGTTTTTTTAACACAACAAAAAAATTATTATTATATGTTAAGGTAGCTATATCTGTGTTATTTTGATAACGCATAAGGGTGCGATTATGTTGGAGCTGCGATAAACGATAAAAGCAATGATACTAATTTAAGTATCATTAGTATCCGTTGCTTTTATCGTTTATCATAGCTCCAACATAAACACACGGCCTTATTCGTTAGCTATATTTTTCTACGTCTCAGTTTGTGAATACTTGTACCAGTCTCACTTAGCACACATTTAGGTACCAACTGAGACTAAAACATTCACAAAGAAATGTATATTTTTGTTTTTTCTGTGACGTTATCTTTAGTTTCTGTTAAGGCTCTCATAAACGGAAATGGTTGTATTATTGACTGAATCAAAGAGTTTCCAAGTTATTCTTCAAATAAAAAATTTAGAACCAAGAAGGCAAAGTTCGTCTCACTTAGTACTTACCCTCTCCTACGAACTTTTTTCTATGGAAAATTAAGTTTCCTAACTACCAATATTAATGCAATGAAGCAAAAATTTCCTTTCTCTAAGATAACACGCAGAGCAAATCACAAACAACCCAATCAGCCTCTGACGTACTAGATTCGTACTTGTTAGGTCCATTTGACGGCGGTACGTACAGGCAGTAAAATATACATCTTATGTACGTACTGTGTGCGTTCATTAGTAGTGGTAGTAGTACGTAATTTTGGATAAACCATGTACGTACATAAGTCGTACGGCATACGACTATACGTACATAATATGTACGTACATGGAAAGTACTAAAAATCAAGGCGTCCATTATTTAAAATTTCATTCTCTATTTCAATTTCGAGTTTGTTTTCCCATACAGGACACATTCAAAACTTTTTGAAACCTCAAAATTAGTTACACAAATAATAAATATAAAACCGTTAAAAACTTAAAATTGTGTATATCTATATAGCGATCTGGATTACCAACTATTCTTTAGTTCAATGGTGGTCCAGTAGATGTCACCAACGCTCTAAACAAGATCGGGATATATCTGTCCCTTTTTGTCAAATGCATAAAAGATACTTATGATGCCGTGGTTAGTGACAACAAAATGAAAACGATTGTCGATAATTTGTCATTTTTATAAATAAATATGACATACGACATATTACAACACGGCATAATTAACCGCCAATTATTGCCGCCCGCGCCCGCCAACAACAGAACAAATGGCAAAAGGGACAAAAGGGTTGAGCAACACGTTGTTTTGTGCACGTTAAGAAAGGAACAATTAAATATTAAATTAAATAGTTGGTGGCTTGTGACTTCGGCTCGGGGTAAAGTGTGTGTTAAAAAAGACTAGTAGTTGGTGGTGTTGGTGCCCGTGGCTTGTGGCTTCGGTTCAGGTAAAATGTATTTTAAAGAGTAGCAATTTAGGTTAGGTTGGTGGACCATTACGTTATAACCGTTTTAAAATAGGTGAGTTAGGTGAGTATGGTTTTCTAATTTATTTAAATAAAAATGTCCTATAGAAGTTCCAAAGTAAGTAAGCATTACAAAAATGCAACCAAACAGTTTCGTAAGTTTGCTAGCAATATCAACTTCGACCCAGACCAGCCTTCATCTAGTAGTTCTAGTAATATAAATTCAAACCCTAATTTGGATATCCCTGGTAGCATTAACTTGGACTCCTGTCATTCTGAAAAACCCGAGGAAAAACTTGTAATGCTTGATGATCAGAGTTACTCAAGCTCATGCTCTAGCTCGGACTCTGAGATTGACTACCAAGTACTGGATGACAATAAAATAAATTTTCCTGTGGATTGTCCACAAAATTCTATGGAAGAATTTTCGAACAAGCCTGATATTTCCATGCTATCGCTTGGATGTGATAATTCAAATAATGACTCTGCTTCTAGCCTTACATTAGAATTATCAAATTGGTCTCTTCAGCATAATATAACACACACTGCTGTTAATGACCTGTTAAGGATATTGAAACCACTCCATCCAGAATTGCCTATTGATGCGCGTACACTTTTACATACACCAAGACAAAATACTGTGGTATCAGTTGAGCCTGGTCACTATCAACATTTTGGTCTTAAAAATTGTTTGCAGAAACTTCTTTTCCAGTATTCTAAAGCTAAAGATTTGATTATAATTGAAATTTTAGTTAATGTAGATGGACTTCCCATATCAAAAAGTTCTGGCAGTCAGTTTTACCCAATTTTATGCAGTCTATATAAAAACCCTGGCCCTGTGGAAATGATTGGAATTTATCATGGTTATGCAAAACCCAAAGACTGTAATTTGTTTTTGAAACAGTTTGTTCTTGATGCTAATGGAGTGCTTGAAACTGGGTTCAAGCATAATGGACATATATATCCTGTAAAAATAAAGGGATTTATTTGTGATGCGCCAGCGAAATCTTATATAACCTGCACTAAAGGCCATTCAGGCTACATGTCTTGCACAAAATGTCATATGGAAGGAATTTATCATGAAGGGGTTGTTTGTTTTCCCAAGACTTCCAATTTTCAGCTGCGTAATGATTTTGATTTTAGATCAAAGGTACAAGAGGGTCATCACACAGGTCACTCATGTCTTGAAAATATTTCAGGACTAGACATGGTTGCATCTTTTCCGTTGGATTACATGCACCTTGTTTGTTTAGGTGTTGTGAAAAAATTACTTGTATCTCTTTGGATAGATGGGAAGCCCTCTTCGAAAATGTCATTCAATGAAATAACACAACTCTCAAAAAATTTATTTGAACAATCGTCAAACATCCCTGTAGAATTTAATCGAAAACCTCGAAGTGTCAGTGAAAGCAAAAGGTGGAAAGCTTCAGAGTTTAGACAATTTCTTTTGTATACAGGACCAGTAGTTTTGCTTGATATACTATCTCGAGAAAGATACGAAAACTTTCTTGTTTTAAATATTGCTATTACTATTCTCTCAAGTTCAAACTATTTTGTGATTATTGATTTTGCTGAACAGCTTCTGACTTATTTTGTGGACACTTTCATTTCTTTATATGGTGCAAAATACTCTTCACACAATATTCATAACTTACTACATTTGGTAAATGATGTACGTAATTTTGGCCCACTTGATATGTTTAGTGCATTCAGTTTCGAGAATTACATGCAAACAATTAAAAAAATGGTCAGGAAACAAGAAAAACCTCTCCAGCAATTAATCAATAGGAAAACCGAAATTGACATGTCAAAATACAACAGATTTATAAAGTCTCCTAAAATTTTTCCATTTTGTGCAAGACCCCACTCTAATGGTCCATTATTACCAAATAGTACTCTGATTACAACTCAGTTTGAAGAAGTTCATTTCAAAAATTTTGTTTTAAAAATCAGAGCACCAGACAACTGTTGCTTTATAGGCGAAGACATTGTAAGTATATGCAATTTTGTAACTACTGATAACAAAAAAACATTGATTTTGGGACGTGCTCACCTAAAAAAGGGAAATTTTTATGAAAAACCATGTCAGTCTTCAGTTTTAAATATTTATTTAGTAGATAATGAAATGAGCACTCTAAGAACATGGGAAGTGGAAAATGTTTGCCATAAATGTATAAAACTTACATATAAAGGTAAATTTGTAATTATGCCTTTATTGAACACCTAATTTTAAACTAAAAAGTACTGCATTTTTAAGGCACACATCTGAAAGTTTCATTCACATTCACAAGTGCCTTCTCAAAAATTTCTATTGCTAGGTAAATAGTTCTGTTCGAACCCGACATGAGAACCGTTCTAGAATGGTAATTTCCAGTTGCCCACCTATTTTTCAATAAAATGAATGTTTATCCTAATTGATCAATAAATTGAACGACTTGAAATTACCGTTATAGAATTCATGTTGGGTTTGGACAGAACCAGAGCTGGGCAAAGCCCTCAGTAAAAGGGCTTGAAGCACTAAGCCCTAAGCCCTCTATCAAAGTGCTTCAATTTCAAGCACAAATTCCTTTTTATTTTCAAAAGTGCTTCACAAGCACAAAGCCCTCAAAGTGCTTTGGGCTTGACAAGCACAAAGCCCTCTAAGTGATTTGAAAAGTGCTTGAAGCACATCAAAAGTGCTTGGGGTGCCTTGAAAAAGGCTTCAAGCTCTTTAAATGTGTTTCAAGCTCTTTAAATGTGCTTCAAGCTCTTTAAATGTGCTTCAAGCTCTTTAAATGTGCTTGAAGCTCTTTAAATGTGCCTAAAGCACTTTGAATTTGTAATAAAATTCTCAAAGTGGCATAAGTTACCGCGTACACTCATCACACAGAATTGGTATAGTAGAGACGAACTTTACATTTCACAGCGTAGCAGTAGTATGTTTTTTTTTTGAGATGTAGTTCTGGGGTACTTGGGGTAGTTGGGGTACTACAGGTAATTCAATTTTAGGGTTTTCAAAATGTTCAATGGGGAAAAGTGAAAAAAATCCAGTGATAAAGTTAAATAGGGTACCTATAAATTATTTATTTATTTGAATAATAAGTTCATTCTTTTTTTTTTAAATTCCATTCTAAGCTCAAACCCAAAACCTCCATTGTTAAGAGAGAAAAGATATAAGACGGTTCAAGTTCAAATAATAGAAAAAAAAATTAAGGGACAAAACACGATCGAAAATGTTTAAGTGGGGGATAGGTTGAATGATGGTCAATTGTCAATTCAAATTCCTTTCAAAGTGCTTCAAGCCCTTTTAAAGTGCTTCAAGCCCTTTTAAAGTGCTTCAAGCCCTTTCAAAGTGCTTCAAACTCCCAAAAGTGCTTCAAGCCCTTTCAAAGGGCTTCAAGCTCCCAAAACTGCTTCAAGCCCTCTAAAAGTAATTGAAGCTCATTGAAAGGGCTTGAATTACTTTTTTCAATTACAAATTACCAAGCACTTTTCTAAAGTAATTGACTTTGCAAGCCCCAATTACAAATCTATAAAAGGGCTTGAAGCACAGGGCTTTCAAGTCCTCAAAGTGCTTCAAGCACTTTCGCAAGCACAAAGCACTCAAGCCCTGCCCAGTTCTGGACAGAACTAATAGTAGCTTAGTGTAGTAAGGTCCGTTTCACCAGGGTTCATACTTGACCTTGAAACTTGGAAAAAAAGGGTTGTCGTAGATTGATTCATATGACACATGCAATAATTTTTTTGACAAATTAAAATGAATGACTTTTGGTTAAGAACCGACAAACGTTTTTGACGTCATTGATTTATTTCAGTCAATTTTTATTTGTTAAACAAGGAAGGTAGATGCTGGTGGCAAGTACAAACCCTGGCTAAACAAACTTTAGGTGTTTTTTAATATATTGACACCCCACCCCACCTACAGCCTTTACCTTCCCAGATAGAAGAAAGGTGTAAATTCAAAAGTTGTATAGTTTTGGCTAAATTTTGGGAATCCATGGTCAGAAACAAAAATTGAATGTCAGAAATGTGAAATGTTGCATGTTTTCAGCCTTTTTCAAATGGGATGCCCCATACTTATTTGGTTCTATATTCTTGAAGAGCACAATTTCCCGATTCCAAAAATATATAGCTTGTCTATATTTGGTTGAGTGGTCTCCAACATATTTGGTTTAAAAAAATTCAAAAATACTATCAGAGAAACCAAGTACAGTGGGAATCATTGCAATTGGCACACACTATATAAATATCCCTTGTAATGTGTCAAATCTGACACACAGTCATAGCAAAATGCTGCACTTAATAGATTTATTGGTTAGAATTTTGACTTAATACGAGGGATTTTAAAGAGTGTGTGCCAATTGCAATGATTCCCACTGTACCTCAAATTTTACCTGATACAGCTTTCACCTGTACAGGTAGAATGGTTCACAAAATCAGTAAGTAGGATAGTATTTTTTAAATTTCTAGAACCAAATATGTTGGAGACGGCTCAACCAAATATAAACAACTATATATTTTTTGAATCGGGACATTGTGCCCTTCAAGAATATAGAATCAAATATAGGGCATCTCAATTGAAAGCATGGATAATTTCACATTTCTGATATTCAATTTCTGTTTCTGGCTATAGATACTAAATATTTAGCCAAAACTGAACAACTTTTGTATTCACACCTTTCTTCTACCTGTAAAGGTAAACACTGTAGATGGCGTGTCAATATATAAAAAACACCCTGTACATGAATAATGCAAATACAGGTGGTAATTTTTAGGTAGGTATATTGTTTGGTGAATTAGTAACCCCAATAAATAATTGGTGGACAAAAATGGAGGGAATGGAATCTGCATCTGCAACATCACCACCTGCCAAAACTTGGACGGTTGTAAAATTTGTCGACGATTCGTCTGTCGCTGCAGTGCCAACAATATGGATAAACAATCACCAATGTCTCTGGCCTACGTTTGCAGCAGAAAAATTGACTGCAGCTATCAAAGGTCAGAAGTTGAATACTTAATATTGGCCATCACATAAAATAGAAATCTTCAGGAACGCAACATATGGTAAGGCAGTACTTTAACTATTCCCTTAATAGATACTTTTCTTATATGACTTAATATTTCCATTTGCTTTCCATTAACTTGAAACCTAATAGGAAACTGTGAATGAAATATGTATAAAAAAGCCACTGTATAATATGACTCATAATTTAATTTGTAGATTCGTATGAAATTGCACGTCAAAAGGCAAAAAAGGCTGAAGATACAAGTGACCTTAATACAGATGTTGATGAATTCTCTCAAGCAGGAAAAAGCATAATAAGAAAAAAAAAAAAATTCTGATCCTTCTGATGATAACTCTGACAGCGAAGTTGACTTGAATCCAAAAACAAAAAGACATGGTTCGAAACCAATAATGCCTTTATTAGTCCAAGGTAGTTTTTTGATGAAGTGGGATTTTTTACTTGATATATGTATATATTTCAGCAATACAAACCATTAGCATATTTGAATGTGAATTATTTTGACATTGCTTTTTTTTAGGCAAATATGACAAAACTAAACATGTGAAAAACACTAAAGAACAAAACATGTCACATACGTCAGTAGATGCTTCTTTGAAAAAAAGCGAAAATTATTTATTCCAAGAAATCAGAACAGGCGTCAAGGAAACTAATAATAATAATAATGAAGCCTCTAATGTCACTGCAATTGATTCCGCTAAACAAAGTGAGTTTGTACAAATATTTTGAGATAAGCAGCTGATGTAATTGTTTTCTTGTTTTCAGATACAAAGTGTCAGTGTTATTGCCCACATCATGGTAATATTATTATCAAGTTAATTTTTTTTGTATTAATATATTGACACTGTTTTTTAGCTCAATTCAACTCTGAAATTTTAAGACAGCTCTTCTTCCTACGCAGTTTATATACAGAGTTGTTAGATGAAGTGAAAAAAATCAAAGAAGGGCCTAATCAAGATGTTCATGGACATGACGAAGTATCTATTCTCCAAAATTTCAATCTGCCAATTGCTGCAGAAGAAGGGTTGAAAGAACTTGACATGTTTTTAAGACAAACTCAAAACTTTAACAGAATGGTAATTATTTATTTTGCATAGTTTTTAGATAAATGTTTACTTAAATACTGTTTTATAATTAAAGCAGTCTGAATTGTGCAAGGTAGGGGGAAGTAACCTCTTAGACTTTGTGAAGAGATGTATGGGAATGTTGATAGCCAACCAGTTAGCAGCTACATTTAGCTGGTTAGGGAGGAGAAACAAGATGGGGTTCAAAAACTATGAGATGATTGTTGAAGTAATAATAAGTGAGTATCTTATGCATTTTTATTTTTAATAATTTCTTTATTGATTTTAAATTTTTCAAAAAAAAATAGGCACAGAAAATTAATTCCATTTTTTTTTTAGATTTATTTTTTGTATGTTCTGATAACAAAACTAACACAAAATTCAAAAGATTTTTTTCAAAAAATCAGTAAATGATAATGCTTGTTATTCTGATACCTATCAGTTTTGTTTTGCCTTCAAATGCATCTGGAATATATTTCAAGTAGATTTCTCCTTTTGTTTAGATGCTGCTATCAAGACAAATAAGTGCAAAGACAAAAATGAAGCAGAAAAAGAAATTGCTCGTTGGCTGCGCAGAGCCCCAGATCGATTAAAATAATTCGATAAGACCAAAAAAACAAAAACGACTACCACAAGTGATACTGAAGCACTGGATGAAGCACAATAATAATGTATAATATTATAAACCATCATTTTCAAGTACACTTTTGATGGAAATAGAACTTTGTATTTTTGATCGTTAATAAAACTCGTTTTTATAGGTACATAATTTTATTTTATATTCAGGAAAGAGAATGAATCAAATATAAATGTGAAAAATGTAATAAGTTGCACACAAAATTCCCATAATTTCGTAATATTTAACATTTAGCATTGGTTTAAATGCCAAATATTACGAAATTTCTGCAAATATGTATACAGTGTGTCCGTAAAGTAACGGATAAATTCATTATTTTGAAAACGGTAGAATTTTTGAAAAATCGCTCAGACATGTCAATTTTGTTTTTTTGATTGACATTTTTTGATATATTTTTTATCATACAGGGTGTCTCAAAAATAGCTCCGCTGCTATCAACTTTTTTTTTTCAAATGGATCACCCTGTATATTATGACATTTATGGATTCTGCGGAAAATTTTTGACATATTTCATGTAGAATATCATATACCTATCTTCAACTGTTTCGGAAATATTGACAGTTGAAAATTGATTTTTTTGCAACTTTGACAGGCTGTAAAACCTGAACGGTTAATTTTAGAGGAAAACAAATTTTACATTGCTATCTTAGATTTTCATAATCTATCATTTGACATCAACTTTGAATTTACCCGGAGATTAGATTTAACTGGAATTTTTAATCACGGATTAACTTCAAAGTTGGTGTCAAATGATAGTTATGAAAATCTAAGAAAGGAATGTAAAAGCGGTTTTCCTCTAAAATTAACCGTTCAGGTTTTACAGCTTGTCAAAGTTGCAAAAAAATCAATTTTCAACTGTCAATATTTCCGAAACAGTTGAAGATAGGTATATGATATTGTACATGAAATATGTCAAAAATTTTCCGCAGAATCCATAAATGTCATAATATACAGGGTGATTCATTTGAAAAAACAAAGTTGATAGCAGCGGAGCTATTTTTGAGACACCCTGTATGATAAAAAATATATCAAAAATTTTCAATCAAAAAAACAAAATTGACGTGTCTGAGCGATTTTTCAAAAATTCTACTGTTTTCAAAATAATGAATTTATCCGTTACTTTACGGACACACTGTATGTACAATAATACAGCTTTTGATACATACATTTTTCGTACTATGTATGTACAATCAAAAGTTATTGTATGTACATATACATTCCACTGTACATACTAGTACGTATTCCTAAAAATGTACAAACCAAATTCATACTTTGTACGTACATAAAAGAGCCTGGGTATGTACTGCTATGTACTGAGAACGTACTTTCCGTTTGTTCTCCGAACGTACAGTATGTTGGAAAATGTACATACACAGTAGATCCAATGTACGTACTACGCCCCGAGTCGTATGTACATTAGATGTACTTTACATCCGAGACCTACGTACTTAGAACATTTTATATATGTACTGGTGCTGATTGGGAAGTTTGGCTTGAATGTTATTAATAAAGCATATTTCCTGATTACTTTCACATAAGATTAGTTTTTAAGAGCCATAACGAACGTGGTAACCACGACTGTTCGGGTTTTGTCAGGAAACATGGGTTTCCAAAGAGACGTCTGCAGATATAAATTCGAATCACAATGCGCTTGTAGCGAACATCCAGTTGACACTTAAAAGATGTGTACAGCTAAAACGAACAGCCCTAGACTGGATCTGATTAATACAACTTAACAACTCTAGCCGAAGTTAGAAACGAATTAGATAATAAACTAAACGTAATAAACAGAGTAGAGAATCAATTAAGAAGTGGAGACTGTATGGACCGGTATCAGGGAAGCCTTCACGAAGCCTTTGTTAGCGTCAGCTCGAAATTATCATCAAGTTCCAGGAAAAAAGCTTGGATGACTGATGAAATCCTCGACTTGATGGAAGGAAGACGCCTGCAAAAAGACCAGCCAGCATATCGTCAGTTCAATCGTGAAATAAAAAATAAAATCAGGGTGGCTAAAGAAAATTTGCTAAACCAGTGAGACCGCAGGGCAGGAAGGAGCGAGACAACAGAGGAAGAGACAAATGCTACCAGAGGCTGGTCGATCTCGTATCGCCTATGATGGTGATCGTTTTTTTCCAAAATTAACAAGATTTATTTTCTTTGTACACTGATGCGAAACAAGAAGTGGATATAAATGGTGTATTTACCCGGAAAAAAAGGCTTTTCTTGCGTCTTTTGAATTTTTTACTATGATGGCTTAGATGTACACTACATACAAAAACATAACCCATGTCGACTGAAAATCCACACCGAGTTTTATGGAAAGTATCCGATTGAGTGCTTTTAGCTCGGCTTTCAAAAGAAGAAAAGGCCATCCCATCCTGATAAATGGGATCATAGATAACTTATATTTGATTCCCTTTAATTGAAGAATATGAAATAAGTGTACCTACCACTTCCTGGTAGTAAATGGCTGTTTTCAGCAAGTACCTACTATACCTTCGCCTTCAAATGAAAAAAAAATCATTGATCAAAATATGCTTAATAGGTACTGTTTAATCTAATTCAATGGTAATTTTTATTTTTTGGTAACATGAGTGCGGTAGAAGGTTTTTCAACGGAATTATATGTTTTTTGGGGTGCTGAATAATACGAATCTGAATAAGTTTGCTGCCTCGTATCAGTACCGGCTCAGGTCGAAAAACTTCGAAATTATCGGACTTTTTTCGCTTTTCTGGTCAAATCTTGCAAACGACGCACGGTACGGAAAGTCACGGTGTTCAAAAATGAAGAGCATAAAATTCTGCGTCGAATGTCCTCCTTTCTTGTTACTGCTTTTATAAGCTCGCCATCGTAGGTCGAAAGAAGCCAGTTTTTATGAACTTTTGTGAAAACTCGAAAACTGCAATAAACTTACTTAAGGAGAGTAAAATAAAATGGATATTGCTAATTGCTATCATATAGAGCGTATCTCTTCACTATACAACAACTTACTCGCTCTTTTTCTTTAGCTGGTCTTCCCATGATTTTTCCCACAATATGTGGGTACATATTACGTACGTATATATTCTCTCATGTTGTTAATCTAAGGCCCGATTTATTCATCTTCAGATAAACTTGTTGGTAATTATCTGTATGATAAATTTATCGTTCGCTAATTCTATTGGTCGGCGGATAACTGGCCGACCAATGGGATTACAGATTGTGTTTTTATCCGTCAGATTGCATACCTGACAGTTTATCAGAAGGTGAAGAACTGTAATAAATGAGTAAATATTTTTTTGTTGTAAATGGGCTCTGATAGCTGGTGCTGCGAGCTCTTATGCCGGGTCCAGGCCAAGCAGACAAAATAACGACAAGACAAAGACATTCATGTCTCGCGACAAATCCGATACATTTTTGTCTTTTTTTTGTTTTGTTTCCAAATTCCGAGTTTCAGTTTTGTCTGTGTATTTTACAAGTTGTCAGCGCAGTGTGGACAGGTGCATGTGTTGATAAGAGTAGGAGACCAGTGTCAATCAGTGGAAAATCAAAAGCTTAAGCAAATCTCACCACTCAATCCATTATCATCCTCACGTAACACGTAACTGAACTAACAGTTTATTTATGGAATAACTTTTTCGCTTTTTCAAGTTTGGTCTCACCCAAAAACGTTTCCGTTTCATTCGTATAACAGTTCAACATTGGATGAGGCTGAGAGAAAGATATAACAGCTGGCGGCTAGCAATAAATCTTCATTTTTTGAATTTTCTTTCTGGAAACGCCACATGGTTAAGCAACTGATTCGCATCAACCAACAACTAAATTTTTGTCTTTCTGCAAAGACAATACTACTACGAGTAGTATTGTCTTCGCTTTCTGGTATGGACAGTTTGTCTCAATTTTGTCTGGTCTCAATACCCAAATTTTTGTCACAGTTTTGTTGTGTTTTTGTCTCAAAATTTTGTTTACTTTTTGTCGGCTTGGTCTGGGACCCAGTATTAGGATCGCATATTTTACTCTGGTGGAGTCACACATTACTTATAGAATTGCATTTCGGGACTGTTGCAGTACCTACTACAAATTTCAACTCCATATTTCTTTTACAAAAAAGAGCCCTTATGTTTATATGCTTAGAGTTCCCTTTCTACAATCTTGCAAACCTAGCTTAATTTCTCATAGAATTTTGACTGTGCCATGCTCACATATACTCGAAACTGTTTGCCTGGTCTACGAAATACTATGGCCAACTTTCTTCGGCATGGCACTATTCAACTAGGCCAGCTAATAATATTCCACTGCCAATTCCCAGAAGCACCTTGGTGAAGAAGTCTTTTATTTTTCCAAGAAAGCCTTCAATTTTCTACCATCTAGCGTTAGGTCTTCACGTTCATACGGGAGGTTTAGAAAGAGGGTTACTCTTGATTATAGCCTACTATATTATTGAAGAATTCTTTGGAGACACCTTGTGAACATATTATTTTTAACTGACAAGTGGGGCTTGAAAAGTAGCGGGGTTAATATTGACAGGCAAGCATTTCATGCTCTTCAACTTTGAATAACGTGACATTTTCCGTACGATGCGTCGTTTGCAAAATATGACCAGAAAACCCGAAAAAGTCAGAAAAGTTCGAGGCTTTTCGCGATTTAAGGTCTGAGCCGGCTCTGCTATGAGGCAGCAAACTTCAGATTCGTATTCAGCACCCCAAAAAATATACAAGCCTTTATTTTTTAAACTGACGCCAGAGGCCTTATTCTGTAAGGAACGAACCGTTCGATTCGGTAGAATTTCTTCGATTGTGACGTCATTTTTGGTTTGGTACCGTGAAAACCAAACCGAAAATGACGTCACAATCGAAGAAATTCTACCGAATCGAACGGTTCGTTCCTTACAGAATAAGGCCCCTGACCTTATCAATTTGTCTGCTAAGTACTTAGGTGTGTTTTACTGACTTTTTGAACTACACAGCCAAGCTGGACTTCCAATCTTTGCTGGAGATAATGTACGTGGTATTCATATCGTATTTACGAATACCAAAACTAAACAGAATACATGAATTTTGAACTTTTTGTAGTCTGACTCTAAATCTTTGAATCTGAGCTGCCTAGAAAACAACACTATGGAATACGCAAGCTGTGACTAAACTAAACTGTCGCACTCAGTCTTAGTTTAA